ACAATTTTGAAGGACTTAAGATGAAAAATGCTATCCACCCCCAGAGAAAGAATCAATGGAGTCTAAATGCAGATCAAAACATACTATTTTTACTTTCTTTATTTTTCTTGGGATTTTTTTGGGTCCATGTTCTCTTTTGCAATATGGCTAATTTGTAAATAGGTTTTGTATGACTCCACATGTATAAGCTATATCAACCTGCTTGCCTTCTCAGTGAGGGGGGAGGGGAAAGAGATAGGGAATTTGGAACTCAAAAATTATTAAAAATGAATGTTAAAATTGTTTTTACATGTAATTGAGAAAAATAAAATAACTTTCAAAAAAAATTTTTAAAAGAATCACTGGATTCCCTGAAGACTATGACCGAAAAAAAGGAAGTAATATAGTTTTCACAAGAGCACCCTGCCATGCTGTTATAGCTGGGCATAGTGTTGAAACTGTTGGTACTAAATAATGCCAGGAAATGACAATCCTCAGAGCAGGACTAGACTAGGCAAACTAATTAGTCCTTTAGAGCCTGACATGGTGGGGAGAGGGTGGAGATGCAATAAGGAACATTATTTTTTTATATGCCTTTTTACACATGCATATATTTTTAAAGGCATTAGTATCAGAGATGATATTAGAGCCCAGGCTCTCTAACTCTACATCATGTGCTCTTTCCACTATATTCCTAAGTTCCATTTGACTTCTTACTTCAAAATCCCACCCCCGATACTTACTTCTTTGGGGGTTGGAGCAAGGCCCTTCCCATCCCTGAGACTTTGTCTCCTCCTCTGTAAAATGAAGGAATTGGACTAGAAGAGGCCTCTCTTCTAGCTCTAAATCCCATGATTCACTGTGTTTCAGGGAAGGCCTAAAGCCTTCAGCAGTCAGTCTCACACAGAGGGCCCAAACTTTGACCAGAGTGCAAAAATGTCTTGTCCTGGTCTTGCTGATCAACATTTATGACTTCAAGTTATGTATATGTCAAGGGTCGGGGCAAGGGTCGGGGATAGGGAGAGATAGCCACAAAAGGCCTTTGGCTTCAATTCTCTTGTAGTCCCTCCTATGGCAGAGGAAAGCAAGGTACAAAGCAACTCTAGGAACTCGTCTTCTGGATTCCACACAGTGCTGAATACACACACACATTCACATATTCAATACACAACACACACACACACACACACACACACACACACACATACATATATATATATGCACATGCACACATAAACACATGTTTGTGCATACATACTCACACATACATGCACATATATTCACACACATACTCTCATATATACATATACACATACTCATGTACACACCCTCATACATCCTCATACATATATATACACATATGTTCACATACATACACATCTGCTCGCATAATACTCATGTATGTGCTAACACACATACTCATATTCACACATATCCACACACACACTCAATATATAATATATACATACACATATACACACTCATGCACATTCATACATACACACATGTTCACACATACTTACCTACAAATATATGCTTATGTACACATATACATGCTCACACATATTCACATACATACACACATGTTCACATATACTCGAATATACATATGCTCACACATACACACATACTCACACATTGCTCATGTGTGCTTACAATACACATATGCTTGTACACATACATGCACATATATACAGGCTCACATATACACACATGCATGCACACATGCTCACACATATGCTCACACACACACACACACACTCACTTGACTCACTCACAGAGTACCAGCCAATAGGGACCTTACAGACCCCTTGGTATCTTTGCCCTTATTACCTCTTTCATCCTAAATGCTGTCCCTCCTATCAAAATTCTACCCATCCTTAAAGACCTAATTCAAATGTGCCCCCCACCCTCTTCCTTCTTTGAACTCCTATTATTACAGAAAGAGTTGCCCCACCTCAGAACTTCTGTTTACTCACCTGTGAAATGGGGAAAATCATGTGGATGACAGGGGCCCTCCTTGCCCTGGAACAGTCCGCTGCTCCTGTGAGCTGCTCTGCTTGGAATATTCCTTCACCAGGCCTGCCCCTTTCTCCCACTGGTGAGCTCTCCTGGTGGAGCCCCCATTTTGCGTCAGAGCCTAGGAAGGCCTGCCTTCATTTTCATGTTGTAAAGAAGAATTAGAACCAAAGGGAAAAACTAGGAGAAAGAAAAACGAATAAAATTAAAATACCATTAATTCATATGGTTGTACACGTATAGCCTATATCAGAGTACACGCTGTCTTGGGGAGGGGGGAGGGAGGAAAGGGGGAGAAAAATTAGAACTTGAAATCTTATGGAAGTAAATATTGAAAAAGAAAAATAAATAATTTTTTAAAAAAGAATGTAAGTTTCTTGAAAGCAAGGACTGTGTTTCTTTTTGCTTAGCACAGTGCCTGGCACACAGCAAGCACTTAATTAATGCTTGTTTCCTTCCTTTCTTTCAATCCCTGTTTATCTTTATCTGCCTTCTCACAGATGGCATGTGCAAAGGTGGCTAGGGTATATCTTTAAAGGGCTCCAGCTTCCTCTGTCTATATCAGTATGAAGCCCCACCAACCCTCACCTTCCTGCACCATCCAGAAACACCTGTAAAGTTCTGGGCACAGCTGGGTGACTCGGATTGTCCTGCCTCATATCTCCAAATCAGAACCAATCTGGACAATCCAGGTGAGAGGAGGCAGTCAGGAAACTTGCCCCCTCAATAGCCTTTGCTCAATAGATCAGTTTGTATACATCAATGAATGCTGTAGCTGGATAAACTGCATGTGAGGCTCTGTCTCTGTACCTGAAGCAACAAGCATTTATTAAGCACTTACTGTATGCCAGGCATTAAAGATACAAATGCAAAAATTGGAATGATTTCTAACAACAAGCTTAATTCTACCATTCTCAACTTACCAGCTTCCACTGTTCCCTTGAAATCTAGTGCAGGCCCTGCAGACCCTCCTTCCATGCACTTCATAAACATCCACACCTTCTTATTAAATAAATTGTGCTTTGTGTCCCTGCTCCCCCATACATCCTCAACAAAGCATCTACCCCATGTGCTGGGGGCCATCCTCTGGATCTTCTTCTATTCTGGGGGTAGCCAGGCAGTACTCAGGCTGTCCATTTGGCAGCCCTCACTCTCACCACTGCTGAACAAAGGTCATTACTGAAAATACACCGCAGCTTTCCTGAGCCCACAATGCATCTCACCATTGGCCTTTGGGTCACCTGTGACTTTGATCCCTCAAAGCCTAATGTTTTCCAATTTTCTTAACCATCCAGCATTACAGGGGAGGAACATTTTTATTTAAAACCTGGGCCCTCCCTTTTTTTTTTAAACCAGGGAGCATTTTGGAACCATGAAAAGCCTTGTGTTAACTCCCTGTTGGCTGGCAATCCAGCCAACTTCCTTTGATTCAACTCTGGGCCCAGGTTACTGTTGATCCAGTGTTTCCCCAAAAAATATTTATGTCTTCATTAATAATACTTGCGTACATGTCACAATGTGTTGCCAAAGACCTGCCCTGTGGCAGGGCAAGGAGGCACTGGAACCAATTTAGAAACGCACAGCAACTAGTGCATTCTCTCGCTAGTGTGGCAGGTGTGGTGGCCTTGGACTGTGAGGATGGGCCTGAGTTACTCTCTGTCTGTCCCTGGACAACTAGTTCTTTTCCTTTTTCTTCATCTGTAAAATGCTGAGGCGCTACCTGATGCTTTTAAATATGCTTTCCACCTCTGACATTCTATAATCTAAACTGCTTCGCTTCCCCAGCCAGTTTTCTTCTCTCTAAGTAAGGGGGTGGGATTCCAGGAGCCTCCTTCTGCTGCTTACTACTTCTGTAGGCTTGAGCAAATCACTTCCCTTCCTGGGCTCAGTTTCCTCATTTGTAAAATGAGGTCAGACTAGAAGCCATCTGGCTTCTGATGTCCCTTCCAGCTTGAAACTTCTGCTCTCTGACCTTTGAGAGGCAGTTGGTATAGTAGATAGCATGCTGGCCTTGGAGTCGGGAGAATCAGAGTTTGAATTCTATGTCTGAAACCATTGATAGGGTAATCTCCCTGAGCCTGTTTCCTCAGCTATAAAATGGAATGACCAAATGATAGTGTAAATCAAATACTATATGACTGTCAGTTTAAAAATAAACGATCGTCTCCAACACCCAGCCCATAGTAGATGCTTAATAAATGCTTGGTGGTTGCTTGAAATCACAAAAAGGCAAACAGTCCCTGTCCTCACGAGGCTTATATTCTGTTGCAGAAGACTACATGGGTATATGCACACCTGTTCTGACACTCTATTATTTCTATTACTTGTCCTGCCTGGGCCTCAGTTTCCACATCCATACAACCCAAAGGTCCCTTGAAGCTCCAAATCTGTGATCTTTAGCAGCATATCCTCTCCTGGCCTGTTTCCTTCTCTGTAAAAGGAGAGGATTGGATTTCAGGGGTGGGGAACCCGAATGTAAATGATCGTGGAGGTCCTCTCCCCCCCTTGGCATCCCAGGATCCCTCTGACTTCCCATCCTTACCACCTGACTTGTTCAGTCGTTTCAGTCGCGTCCGACTCCACGTGACCCCATTGGGGGTTTTCTTGGCGAAGGTACCGGAGTGGTCTGCCATTTCCTTCTGCAGCTCATTTTTACAGATGAGGAGACTGAGGCAAACAGGGTGAAGTGACTAGCCCAGGGCCACACTCAGGTGTTCCTGACTGCAGGCCTGGCCACTTGCAGCGCCACTTGGCCGGGTGTTGGGGGGTTTTTTGTTTGTGAGTGTGAGTGTGAGTGTGCGTGTGTGTGTGTGTAAGTGTGTGTTTTGCGTTTTGCGTTTTGTGTTTTGTGTTTTGTTTTTTGGGGTTTTTTGACTCGCCCAACCATGCGAAGAAGGGACCGCGGGGTGGCGCTGTGGCGCCAGGGGAGGCCCGCCAGGCTTTGCAGTAGAGCGCCGCACGGGTGCGCCAGCCCTTCCTCCCCCCGTCCCTCTAGCCCTCTCCGCGCTAGAGCTGCCAGGCCCGCTGGGTCGAGCTTCGAGCAGAGGATGCGACGGGGCTGGAAGATGGCTCTGTCCGGGGGGCTGCGGTGCTGCCGCCGCATGCTGGCTTGGGTGCCCGTGCTCGTCATCGTGCTCGTTGTGCTTTGGTCCTACTACGCCTATGTCTTCGAGCTGTGCGTGGGTAAGTGGGAGTGGGCGGGGGCGCCTCCCCGCTCCCCCCCCACCGTGTCTGTGGAGTCCCCATGGGGGCCCCGCCTCTTGCTTCTTGCCCAAAGCTTCTGACCCCTCCCCCGTCCGGATCTGGGCGTTTGCCCCCTTTCCCTAAGCTAGGTCTCCTTTACCGCTTCTTCTGCCCATTTTGTGCCTTGTGCCCCCAGCCTGGGCTCCCTGCTTCCCCCGCCGCCCCCACCCGTGTCCCTCACACTGAGGTTCCGCCGCATTCCCAGCATCCAGAGAGAGAGCTGGGGATGGAGTCAGTAGATCTGGGATTACGTCCCAGATCTGCCACTTAACTACCTGTATGACCTTGGGCAATACAGAGGCTTCGCCTCTCTGGGCCTTGGATTCTTCATCTATAAAATGAGGGGGTGTAGTAGATGATCTCTAAGGGCCCTTCCTGCCTTGAAGCCAAGACCCTATTATCCTCGTACACTGGGATCCCACCATGTTCCTGTTCCATTCCCTATCCAAGGGCACTGCTGTGTCCCCCATCCCCTCACCTCAGAGTCTTAACATGACTTGTGACACCAAGTGCCCCTCACCCCATCAATTAGACCTGAGTTCCCTCTTCCCTGTCCCCAAGATTTGGGGATGCATATAATCACCCCCCCCCCTTTCCCCATAGACTGGGGAGAGCAGTTTGGTGCACTGGTGGCCTACACACAAGCCTTGTTTCTGGTTCTTTCCCTAGTGATTCAAGTCTGTATAGCAAGAAAAAAAATTTCCCTCACCTCATTCATGTGTGTGTGTGTGTGTGTGTGTGTGTGTGTACACATACATATATACAAACATTTATGTATATATTATGCATTTTATTTTGACAAATCAATCACTTCCTAATAAATATCCTCCACCATAGAAACCTTCAAATAAAAAAAGACAAACAAAATCATTTAACATAACAACAGTAAATACCATCCTATATCACTTTCACTTCTTATGGTTTACTGTTTATAAACAGGGAGTAAAGATTATGTTTTAACTCCAGTCCTCAAGGAACCAGCACTGGTCAATGGATTTTACCAGACTTCTATTCTCTTTATTTATATCAGTGTTTTCATGCTCAAATATAGAAGTATAAAAGCAGGGGCCTTGCTAGCATACGTTTATACCTTGAAATCCAGTATGGTCCTTGCAGTTCATCCTTCCTTGCATGTCACAGCTAAACCGTAGGCAAGGATCCCTGCAGCCACATATTGACTTAGAAAACCGTATATTAATATTGTGTATGTTCTGTTGTGTTCTTATTTATTTTGTTAAATATTTCCCAGTTCCATTTTATTCTAGGTCTGGTTGCACTCTGGACTTGCCTGGGTTGTGTGTTTGTAAATGTGTATATTGTTCTCTTGGTTTGTTTTATTCTGCATACAGGTCTTCCAGTGTTTCTGTGGAACTCTTCATATTTACTGCTTCTTATAGCACAAGCATATTCAACTATATTCATATCTATTGGCACATAGAAAGCACTTAATAAAGAAATGCTTCATGCTTTTCATTCATTTATATACTGTACTTTGTTCAACCATTCCCCAAACATTGGGCACATGATTTGTTTCCAGCCTCTTGCTACTACAAATAGTGTTGCTATTAATATTTTGGTATTCGTGAGACCTTCCTCTCTATCATTGACTTCACTGGGGTAATAAACCCAATAGTAGGATCATGGTATTGAAGGGCAAGAATGGTTTTGTGGCTTTTCTTATGAAATATCACCTTGTTTTCCAGAATCATTGAACCAGTTCATAGCTCATACCCATAGTGCATTAGTGTGCCTGTCTTCCAACAGCCCCTCTAACATGATTATTTCCATCTCCCACCATCTTTGCAAATTTGATTGGTGTAAAGAAATAAGCCCCTTTTTAGAAACATTATGGAAAATGCAAAAAGAGCTCTTAAAGAAATCAATCCAATCAATTGCCTTTGTCAGGCATAAAATAAGTTTGGTTTCCATCTCATTGCTGAAATTGAGGGTTTAATCAAGGCTATGCAATAATGGGAGAGATTTTCTATATTCAGACCTTACCATTTCTGCCTTTGAATGAAAAAAATTAAGAGTCCAGAAATCTGGACTGCTATTATGCTGTCAACATTCTGTCTAAGGACTATTAACACATCAAGGTAGTTATGTAAGGTCTTTTAGAATTTGTGGGTTTTGTGATTTGAGTGGACATTGCAAAGAAAGCTTTCCCTCCCCCCTCCCCTTTTAAACATAAAACCAAGCTGGAATCACACAGTCTCAGAATTGAAAGAGACCTCAGAGGCCATCTGGTGCAAAGCATGTGTGACCAGGAAACCGCTTCAGAAACAAATACAACAGGTGATCAGCCTTTGCTTAAAGACCTCAAATGAGGAGAAACCTACTGCCCCCCCCCAATCCATTTCTACTTGTGGATAGCTCAGATTATTGATATTTTTTCTTTATTTCAAACCTAAATTTGCTTTTTTGTTTGTTTGGGTTTTTTGTAATTCCTACCCCTATGGCTGTGGAGCCAAACAGAACAAATCACATCTGTCTTGCCCATGACAGCAGACAGCTATCATGCCCCCTCCAGTCATCACTTCTCCTGACTACATATACCCCATTCCTTCAGATGATACTTAGATGATATGAACCTGAGGCCCTTCAGCATCGTGATGACCCTCCCCTGAATGTTCTCGAGCTGACCGGTGACCTAGTGAACATAGTACTCTACACATGGTCAGTCCATAGCAGAGTCCAGTGGGCCCCTCATTCCCTGAGCCCTAGACATTATGCTTCTCCTAGAGTGTGACCTCTTTGAGAGTAGACGCTGACTTATTTTTCTAGTTATTTCCCCAGCTCTTACAGTGCTTTGCACATAGTAAGTGCTTGATAATTTTTTTTATTCATTCATTCACTTTTTTTTTTTTGGCTAGGCATTGGGGTGAAGTGACTTATCCAGGATCACACAGCTAGTAAGTGTCAAGTGTCTGAGGCCAGATTTGAACTCAGGTCCTCCTGACTCCAGGGCTGGTGCTCTATCCACTGTGCCACCTAGCTGCCCCCATTCATTCATTCTTAATATAGCCTAAAATCATATTCCCTTTTTCTTTCAGTGCCATATCACACTGTAGATTCATGTTGATCTCACAGCCTATTAAAACTCCCAGATCCTCAAGAGGAACCGTGACTTCCCCTATCTTGAACTTGTGAAGTTGACTTTTTAAACTCAGATGTTGAAATTAACCTTTATTCCTATTACATTTTACCTTACTGGACTCAGCACAATGTTCTAGCCTGCCATGATACTTTGAGATACTGACTCTATCAGCTATGATTCTCTTATTTCTCCAGCCCAGCTATGTAACATCTGCAAATTTGATAAGCATGTCTTCTGTGTCCTGATCCAAGGTTAGGCTGCACAGGACCAAGCACAGATCTCTGGGGAACTCTACTAGAGACTTCCTTCCTTCCAGATTGAAATAAAACCATTCATAATCATTTTGGGGGTCTAGCCATTCAACTAATTTGAAAATCTGTTTCTTCTAGTCCACATCTCTCCATCTTGTCCACATTTTGATTAGGCTTTGCTAAAGTAATCTATTAAAGTAAATCTAAAAGTAAAGCAATCTCAGCCATCTTTATCCAGAAAACGTGCTAGTAATTGTGAGAAAAAGGAAATGAAATTGGTCTGGCATGACTTGTTCTTGATGAAGCCATAATGGTTCTTAGTGGTCACCTTTTCCTTTTCCACATGTTCCTTACCCACCCCTTTAATAACAAGATGACATTTTGCCAGAAATCACAGACAAACTCACGAGGCTACAGTTTTCAGACTTCTGGTTTGCCCTTTTTGAAAATCAGGACATTTGCCCTCCTGTTGCAGGCCTAGTGCACCGCTCCGTGATCTTTCACAGATGACTGTCCATTGTCAGTGTCAGTAGATGACATCTACCAGTCCTCCCAGTAGCCTGCCATGTGCTTCCTTTGGACTTGGTGACTTGAACTCGTCAAGGACAGCTACATCCTATACCTGGAGGAGGCCTTTCAGTCAATCTAATCCAACCCCTTCACTTGGCAGAGGAGAAAATGGAGGCCCTCAGAGAAGAAATGAATGGCCAGTAAAGGGGCAGAGCTGAGACTAGAACCCTGATGTCCCAGGCCCCAGCACCATATTCCATCCACTACTCCCTGTTGGCAGTATGTCACAGTTGTTTCGTATTGCAATATGCAACATGAAAAGGGGTTTTTTTTGTTTAGAGTTTTTTTCTGCACAGACCACCTGCTTGTTGTGAAACAGGACAAAAAAAGCATGTCTTGGATTGATTTTGTTAGAAAGGAGTAAGGTGAGGGAGCCCTCTGCTCTCTTAGGCTTTTTTGTATTCTCCCTAATGTCCAGTTATCTAGCTGAAAGCAGAAATGATCCATGGAGAACTGTTTCTACCTTTGTGGGGGCTGAGCTGCTTCCTTTCTGCAGGGTAGAAAGGCTACGTAGTGTATGGAGAGTCCTGGCCTTGGATTTGGGAGACTTGACTTCAAATCCCAGTGGATTTGTCCTAGCTGCATAACTGTGGGCAAGTTGCCACCCCTTTTGGGACCTCAGTTTCCTTCTCTGTAAAAGTGAGGTGGCAATATTATCATAACAATATCATAAAGGTTGCGGTGAGCAAAGCGTTTTATAAACCTGAAAGCGCTATTGGAGTGTGGGCCGTGATTGCAGAAAATTAACGGGATCCTGTTGGGCACAGGAGTAACTATTTTGGGCTTTTGGAGGAGGGCGGAGTTCTACAGTGTCTGTATTGAAAGGAAGAAATAAAGGAGCTGGGGTGTAATCCTACTCAGAGCCCAGAATTATTTGATGAGAAAGGGCACTGATTATGTGGGTTAGTCAGGAAAAATGGAAGGTATCTCTGGAGCGGAAAACCAGAGAAGATTTTCTAAGAAACAAGTTTCTGCAGCTGTAGAACTTGTGAGTATGAATCATTGCCTGTACTGTATGTAAAACAGGTTTGGGAGCTGCCTCTAGGCCAAGTGGTGAACTGCGGTATGCCAGAGTTGGGAGCCATTCCCATTGGCCGTCCAGAAGCTCCCTGGAGGTGGTAAGGGAGGGTGCTTGGCTGACTTGGGTTAATTGGAGACAAAGTCAGGAAGAACTCAGCCCCCTTTGCCTTCCCCTAAACCAGTAAAGCTCAAGGGATGGTCCAGGGCAAGGAAGAAGGACTGAGGGCATTCATTTGTTAAGTCATCACAATCACCTGTGAGTGATTATGAAGTGCCCCCCCCCCCAATTCACATGATGCTCTGTTCGCTAATATATCAGTCTCATTGGAGCAAATTCACATTTTCAAAACAAGCATTAGAGTACACTGGAGAACCTTTTCTTTTTTCTTTGTTCTCTTTAGAACTCAGGGGTGGGGAATCTGTGGCCTCGAGGCCCCATGTGGCTCCCTAGATCCTGAATGGCAGCCCTTTGACCGAGTCCCAGTTTTACAGAACAGATCTTTCTATTAAGGGGATTTGTTCTGTGAAGTTTGGATTCAGTCAAAGGGATGCACTTGAGGACCTAGAGGGCCACGTGTGGCCTTGAGGCTGCAGGTTCCCCAGCCCTGCTGGGTTATAGGCCTCATAGTGAAATCCCTGGCCTCCTGGTTTTATTGCTCTCCGGTTAGTTCCTCATCCCCAAAGCCTTCTGATTTTTTTCTTCTTGTGCCCTGAGTACTCTGAGGATTAGTAGTCATCCTTATGCAACCTCAGGCAGTCTTCTGTACCCAAACCTCCAGGATAGACTCAGAGTTGAAAGGGAACTCAGAGGTCCAATCTGTTCCTGAGTGAGAATCCCTGGTACAAGTGGTCAGCAAGCTTCCACTTGAAGCTATCCAATGATGGGGGACTTAGTACCTTCCAAGGCTACCCATTCCACTTTTGGATAGCTCTAATAGTGAGGTAGTCAAAATCACCCCCTCTGGTTTTTGTGAAACCTCCCAGATCCTTTCCTGCTCATCTGGGACAGACGCAGCACACCCCTTTGGGGGGCCTCAGCAGGTGATATTTGGGTTCTAATACGTGCTTTCTTTCACAAAAAAAAAGTCTTAATTGACAGACATCTATTCTTCCAGATCCTTTTCTCCAAAGAATCTGCAAATAGCTAATAGAAAAGAGGAGTATGCAAAGGACCCTGGAAAGTATCTCCAATTGTCTAAATCACTAAAAGCAAGCTGAGACTTGAAGGACCACAGAGGGTGGGTAATTATAGGACTCACCATAGCAGACTGTCTTCATGCTCAGAGGGTTACCTACAGCGTGTCTTAAGTGTACACTTAGCTAAGACCCTAGTGATAAAGGCTCCATTTTGTAAAACTTTAGAATGAATCTTGGTGCGTTTTCATTTTTAAAAGCATTTGTAACGCACGAGTTATATTTTGAACCTCTTCCCCACTCTGTAAAAGGCATTAGTAAAAAGGGGAGGAAAAGCAGAAATGTCGAGTGAAATACTGCAACCTTTTGGAGACGAGCATTTTTTTCTCTTATTGATGTGCAATCCCAAAGAATGGAGTTTGTGAGGAGGCAATGTTATTGCTTCAGGTTCATCCTGGCATGTTCCAAGCACCATATTGTCCCTCTCCTCATTGTTAGGGCTTTGACAACCAGGCAAGGTGTTCTGTAGCCGGAACACCTATAATTAAAAAGAAAAAGGCAAGAGAGAAATTAGTGCTTGCTTATCAGGAGAGTACTTTGTGACATTTGGGTGGAAGAAGATATGCCCTGAGCTGGGGGCTTCCACAAAATGAGTCCAATCTTGGAGGCTTCCCTCCCAACCTCTCTCCCTCCCAAACGACCATCTTTTTAGCTCATGTTGCCACCACCCAGAGTTGCTTCTGGGAAATATCAGAATATAGGGGGCAGCTAGGTGGCGCAGTGGATAGAGCACCGGCCCTGGAGTCAAGAGGACGTGAGTTCAAATCTGGCTTCAGACCAGACACTTGACACTTACTAGCTGTGTGACCCTGAGAAAGTCACTTAACCCCAATTGCCTAAAATATACATACATATATATATATATATATATATGTGTATATATATATATATCAGAATATAGTTCAAATGTACCTTGTCCAAGCACTTAATATAGTACATATGTTGGGGACAGGATAGCCTTTATCCTAACCCATAGAAACTGAAGACAACTGAAAGGCCTCAGTAACCTCTAAACAATCCATACAGTTCTCTCTCTAGCAAGCCCTACCTTTCCCCAAGATTCAATAGTCCCCTAGCTTCAGAGCACCGCCTTGTGGTGATGGGACCACCTTGTAGTTTAGGTTAACCCTGCCCCAGAAGGGTAACATGCTTAGGGCTATTAGAGAGGCCTGCACTTTCCAAATAACTCTGAGTAATAGGAATTTGAGGTCCAGGGATGCTCTTCTCTGGTCACATGAGTGACAGCTTATGCAGTCCCCATGTGCCTCTGCCCCAAGGCAGTCAGTGGCTTCCTGAGGGGGAGAAAGGTGGCATTCTCCTGATTCCAGCACCTAGGTCCAGTCTTTGTTTTGCCAGGCTGTGCTCTATCCTCAGAGAAGGAAAAAAGCCCAAATCTGCAATTGAAAACTTTCTTTTATAGGGCAGCAAAGAGAAAAGGCTGCTCCCACACTGGTCTGAGCCAACCGAATTCATCCCTAATCACTGAGAACCATCTTCCATAAGGAGCCACCTACTGCGTTAATATCCTCCTAGGAAAATACAATCCAAAGTCCCAAGCAAAGGCTCACCACCCACTTAGTTCATCAGGTTGATGGGGAACTCCCCTGCCCAATCCCCTAAACTCTTGTCATCGTGACGTGACACATGGTCATCGGTTCTCCTTCCAAAAAAGTCCCGATCTCTGGAGGCCTTTGAAGGGCTCCCTTTCCCCTCAGGAGCAAACAGAATGGAAGCTAATCGCCAGGACAACTGGGTGCAGCCCCAGGCCGGCCCATCCAAGCTTCCTGCTTCCTCCCCTTTCTTCATGGTCAAATTCTTCCATGGACTTCTTTCAAGCAGCCGCACCCAGAGTTCCCTAACTGGGCTGGGGAAAGAAAATCAAGCAGCTGGGGTCAGTCTCTAGGCATGTGTCTTTGAAAAAGAGAGAAGACATTATCTGGAAAGCTTGCTCCTTCCTACTGGGAGAGCCAACTGTAATTACTTTCGTGTAGGAGCAGGAAGGGCAAAGACAGGCAGGACAGTTTTAACCAAGGCCTGCCAAGTTGGGCATTACCAGGGCTGGCCATGGGGGTTGGTTGGCAAGTTTTGTGAAAGACCTGGATATGAGGAGAGGGGGAAGCTGGGCAACTTGCTTAAGGAGAAACACCTAGTCTAGGGGTGGGGAGCCTGCGGCCTCAAGGTTGCAGGTTCCCCACCCCTGCCCTAGAACACTGACCCCTTCCCTGTTTGAAGTTTATTGCTGTTATTAGTACCCATAAATGTTGGCCTGTTGTTTAGAGGAAAAAAATCCTGATTTATCAGGTCACAGTTAAGATTACTTCCCTCCATGTAGTCCAGTTTTGGGTCCCAGCCTGTAGGGGTAGAAAGTCCCTCTCCCTCTTCCATCCCATCAACGATTCCTTTGTAACTTGTAGCCTTAGAGCAAGTCCCACCTTTGACTGTTACCTCCCTGGGCCTCAGTTTCCTTGTTTGTAAAATAAAGTGTAGGGGGGAGGGATTAGATGACCTCTGAGGTCTCTTGGCTCTAGATTTACCAATCTGTGGGCTCATGAGAGCCACCTGGAGCACTGAAAGCTAAAGGTGCTTGCTACCGTTAGAGAGTTGAGATGTGGCAGTGTGGAACTTGTACCCCGCTCTTGCTAATTCCAAGACCAGATCTCTGTCCAGGGCACCAGGCTGCCCCTCAGCACGTAGTCCAGCACAGAGCACTGAGGCACTGAGGAGCTAAAGCAGGTGTGCTTCACTTGACATAATAAATAGATTCTTGAAAAGCTGTTCTGTAAATTGATTTAGACTTCAGGTATACCAGGGAGCTAGCTAGCTTGCCATTTAAAGGAACCTAGCAAGGAAGTATTCAGGGATATGAATAAGCACATGTGAATTGGTCTGGTAGCCCCGAGGAAATCCTACCCCAGTGCCTCCTGGTCCCTCCAGGAAGCCCTGGGTTCTCCACATCGATACTTGTAGAACACAAGCTCTGGTGGGTGCAGCTGGCCCCAGATGGCTTCTGGGCCCTCCAAGGACCCCGTGACAGAGAGGATCTAGCATCATAGGCCTAGCCCAGCTCAGTTGGCAGAGACTCAGCTCCAGTGACTTGGCCACCAGAGGATGAGTTTTTCCCCATAGCATCTCCAGCATCAATCCATTAAGGCAGTGATGTCAACTCAAATAGAAATGAGGCCACTACATAAAGATCCCTACTGGCTGCATATTGGCTTAGAAAACCACATATTGACATTATCTATATTCTACTGTATTTTTATTTTGTCACACATTTCTCAGTTACACTTTAATCTGTTTTGCCACACTCTACTCCAAGTGTTGCTTGTGGCCTGCAGGCCTCAGGTTTGATCTCCATCAATGGAAGGTGTTCCCATGCCAGGGAAATCACAGATCCTTGAAAGATTCAAGTCAGTGCCCCCTTTCGGTTCAGATTTTCGTGTAACTACCTCTTTTGATTGTTTGAAGCAAGGAATACCAGGATTGGTTAGCTTGTTGAATGAATGAATGAATGACGATTCCTCAATCATGAGAGGGGAGGAAGACTATGGGTGGATGAAGCAGGCTGGCAGGTTCCCAGTTCTCCCTTAAAGAGTAGACTAATGACATGGGCATTTGGATAAGAGCTATTTAAATAACACTCATTTTTTTCCTCTTTCTTTTCACAGTGACTGTGGCCAACACAGTAGAAAAAGGTAAGAAGATTCTGTAAACTGCTTTCTCTTTCTATATAAGAATGAATTGCATATTAATCATCCTATAAATTGAACAACTTATCCATGATATACTTGAGTAGCTAAGAAAAGTTTGAGATTATTAGTAGCAAGGATCCTGCCTGAGAAAAAAACCTTCTGGGGGGGGGAGGGGTAGCTCTAGAGGTCATGAAGCAGTCCCCTTTGTGCCAGATGGACAGCTGCCAAGACCTCACCAGAGGGTGGCACCAAGACGTCCACCTGATAAGCCAGACTCCCATCTTTCCCTCTGGGCACCAGCGGCTGTTCTAAACAGCTCACCACTACCCCCAGGCACGAAGCAAGTACCTCCTCCCGGGAGCTACTTGTTCTGAGTGCCGGGTCATCCGCCTTCCTCTACCTCCCCATGACTGGCAGGCAGGATGAAAATCCTGCTGTCCCTCTGATGGAGAACATCAGAGTTTTCCATTTCTAAAAACATGTCTTAGGGATCCTCACACTGTGTTACCACTAAGCCATTTGCCTTTATGTAGCCCCCCTGTGTTTGAGAATCACTTCCTAGTTAATCATTAATTGTCATAAATCACTTTCCTGGGTGAATCAACACCCCAGCCTTTGATCACTCCCATTTTCAGATGAGCAGGCCAGAGAGAGGTAAAGCCACTTGCCTATTGTCTTAGAGCAAGTCATCGCCTGGCAGAGCTGCAGAGCTTCCGGTTTCTTGCCTCTTGTTTATTCTCGTAGGCGGTTGACCAAGCCTAGGGGCAGAATCCAGTATCTGTCAGGTGTTTATCGTAAAAGCCTAGCTTTAGCGCCTCAGACTTGACTCATGCATATTTAATTTTATCATCCTGAGCTCCAGGGTGCAGCCCATTTGTATATTTCCTCGTTCATTTGTATATTTCCTCATTAATTAATATTTGTATTGTATATTTCCTCATTAATAAAATAAAATGTCAACATCTCTTTCAATTAACCAATTAAGCTTAGAGCCCCCACTAGTTCATAGAATAGTATTTATTTAATAAACTGTAGAAACCTAGACTCTATATTAAATCCCTTGATCTGCTAGGATTAGATAACTATTAAAGTTACTGAATATATACTATATCAACGATGAAACTATGAATAAAACAAAGGCATAGATTAGGATATTTCAGCTGTGCCAATGACTTCACTTCTAAGAGCACAGTCCCACACCACTCAATTTGTTCTGAATAACAAAGAAAATCTCTTTAAAAGAATTCCCTTTGTCCTTTTTGCAAGATAAAGATCATAATAGTTTCTTCAAGAAAAGTTTTCCCTATCTTCTCCCTCAGTCTTTTCCAGCGTTTCTCCGACCATGGCAGAAAAACAGCTTCTTCAAAGTAAATAGTAGGAGTCATCTAATGTAATTGCCTCATTTTCCAGATATAGAAACTGAGATCCAGAGTGTAATTAGTGGTATAGTGGCTTGAGTGCCCGATTTGGCGTTCAGTTCAAATCCTGACTCTGACATTGGCAAGTCACATAGCCTCTGTCTGTCCTTATCTGTAAAATGGGGATAAAGATCCCTGTAGTACCCAGGGTTGCTGCAAAACTCCAGGGAGATAATGTGTGTAACCTCAAAGCTCCACACAAATGCCATTTGTGGGTGTTATTACGTGGACTCCCTAATCTGAAACCTGGAGCGTGTGGCATGGGAGAGTGAGCTTGGGGGCAGATGTCGGGGTCTAGCCTCTGCCTCTTACCAGCTGATCAAGTCACACAAACCTCTCAAACTCAGTTTGCTCATCTACGATGATATTTGCCTTCCCTAACTCAAAGGGAATATGTGTGTAAAGTGCTTTGGAAACCCAACAGCTCCATATAAATGGGAGCTGTTGTTTCTATTATGATTATTATTGTCATTTCACAGGGTTGTGGGAGGATCAGATGAAATAATATAGGTGAAGCTCTCCATAATCAGCCCTTTGTTAGCGATAGTAACCCCACAAATAGTTACAAATGCTCTTTCCTCATGGGCCCAAGGATAAGTCCAGCTGAGCCATCACAGTGCAGTGATGGGCCCACCTTAGAGCCTGGAGCCTTCCAAAGAAGTCCTACCTGCCAGGTTCTTTCCTGCTGGCCAGCTCCCTGGGTCTGGCCATTGGAATTGGAGCCCCTCACCAAACTCCTGTTACTTTTTCTCCCAGTGGCTCCTTATTTCCCAGATCCTTGCTTTTGCTAAAGCTAGAATTCTCAAAGAGGAAATTTCCTAAACTGAAATGATTTTTTGATCTCAGCAGGAGGGATGTAGATCAGACATAGGATTATGGGCTCTAGAGCTGGAAGGGTCCCTAGAGATCATCCAATCTAACCCCCTCATTATATAGAGGAGAGAACCAAGGCCTAGAGAGTGGAAGTCACTCATCCAAGGTAACTTAGACAGTAAGCAATGAGCTGAGGTTTGAACCCAGATCCTCTGATGCCAAATCCAGCTCTCTTTCCATTCTCATCCATTGTTCCTCCAACACAAAGGATTTTCTGATACTAGAACAGTTTACCAAGGGAAGTGTACATTTCCTCCCAAAGAAGTGTTCAGCACCTGTCAATCAGCGATGTTTAGGGCCAGCTCTTGTCTGGAGACAGAACAATAGACTTGATGACTTCTTGAGGTCAGAGGATCATAGCCAGAAAGGACCATAGAGGTCATCTAATCCATTATACAGATGAGGAAACTGAGGCCCAGAGAGGTTAAGTGACTTGTCCAAAGTCACACAGGCAGTAATTGGCAGGGCTGGGATTCGAACACAGGTCCTCTGACTCCAAGTCAGGGGGGGGGGTGCGTGTTTCCACTGTATATGGTAGTCCTCACCAACCCTCTGAACCAGTGACTTCTTTGCTCTCTCAGAATACAGATTTTGTATGTATGTTATTGCCAGTGGGAACCTTGCTTAGTATAGACAAAAAAAAAAACATGTGACTTTCACAGGGAAAGCAAGCAAAAGGTCTCGAAGCATATAACCTTTTCCTCAATCCCCAAAGCTCAAAAAAGTCACAGCCATGCAGCCTGCTTTTAAAAAGCATTCATTATTTTCTCTGTTCATTTCCCATCTCTGGTGCTATGTTAATACTCGTTTTCTCTAACGAGCAGAATGTCCCCTGTAATGCCTTTCTTCTAAGGATTGTGAAGCATTTCTCTGCCCTAATGACTCCACTCCCTATGAGGGGGCTGTCACATGGGCACAGCCCCAATTTATCCATAGGTTAACTGAGATCCAAAGAGGTCATCTCTGTGGCCTTACCATGGTCCGGGATTAAAACCCAGGCCCTCTGCCTCACAGCCCAGTACACTGGGCACTAGAGTCACCTCTTAGGCTCCAAATTCACTAGCTTTCACCAGAGACCTAGAGTAGGATAAAAATGCGCCACACAATGAATCTCATTTTGCACCAGAGGGAGGGATTAAGCCAGGAGTCAGAATACCAATTATAGGGCCTGTTTCCCCTTCCTCCTTTGCCAGGTTAGGACCCCTGTGCCTTCCCATGCACCCTTTAAACACATGCTTCTGGCAGCTTGTCAAGGATTAGGGGTAGTGGCCACAGCAGTCCTAATCATCCTGGAACTGGCGGGGAAGAGGGGCTTCTAGAACCTGTGAGATGGCTACCTCAAGGCCCTAATGGGAGGACCAGGGCTTATTGTAAGAAGGGACACTTAGGGGCAGCTAGGTGGCATAGTGGATAGAGCACTGGCCCTGAAGTCAGGAGGACCTGAGTTCAAATCCCACCTCAGACCAGTCACTTGACACTTACTAGCCGTGTGACCCTGGGCAAGTCACTTAACCCCAATTGCCTCACCCCCCCCAAAAAAAAGAGAATGGACACCTCACTTCGAGGCTGTGAACCTCAGTTTCTTCCTTTGTGAGATAGGTATAACAATATTTGCATTACCTCCCATGCAGAGTTGCTGTGGAAAAAGCTCTTTGTAAACCCTGACACATTAGAGAAATGGAAAGTATAATTTTGTTTTGGAGAGAGGCAGCTGTGATATAGAAGAAAACATGTTGAAATTAGAATCAAAAGACCTGGGTTTAAGTTCCAGGGTTGACACTTAATTAGTAGTATGACCCTGGACAAGTCACTTAACCCTCAGCCTCAGTTTTCCTCATATGTAAAGTGGGGATTGAGTAGTATCTGGAAAGAGCACCAGCTTTGGAGTCAGAGGACCTGGGTTCAAATCCCTCCTCTGATGCTTGCTCCTTGTGTGGCCTTGACCCATCCTTTCTGGGTGGCCTCAGTTTCCTCCTCTGTAAAATGAGAGAGCCTTTGATGTTCCAGCTTTATCTCCATGGTCCTGTGATGATGGGGAACAAATGATATGACTCAGTGAAGTACTTTATAAGTGAGCTTTATGTAAATGTCAGCTGTTATTATTCTGACTGTGCTCTTCCACCATGATGACACCACCACATTCTCTCAGCGTGGCCCTCATCATGTTCCTGCCAGAGCCTATAAGACAAGGTCTAAGCACAGGATGTCCCAAACCAATGGAGAGCAGGCAGCCTTCTGTTCATTTATAGGGTGAGAAGAAGCAAACGTACCCCTGGGGCTCCAGGACCAAAGCAATCATCTCTCCGGCCCTTTGTGTCTGCAATTTAGGGACAGCCGAACGTGTCATGTGCACTTCCAGTTGTGGGGGAGGCCTGAGCGATGGCATCAGACAACCTCTTGTGACACCTTATTACCAATAAGCTCGGCTCCCAGAAAGAGTACAGAGGGGAAAATCAAACAAACTCCTGGCTTCTGTTTAAAGATGAGGAACATGAAACACAGACAGGTTAATTAACTTTTTAAAGGTCACATAGATATGAACAAAATAGGAATAAAACCTCATTCTTTCAACCCATACTGTTCATTGTCCTACGCAATGCTATTTCTCAGTGAGGCTGCCATGGGCACCTACTGTGTGCCTAGCTAGAACTCTGGTAGGCAGATGGCAGCTCTCTCTGATCCATATCCACCCAAGCCAAAGGCCATGGAGAA